TATGTTTCCATGCTCCTGGTAGCTTGAAGATTAGGTTTCCATGCCATTGTTGTTATTGTTGTTGTTATTATGCCTAGTATAGCAGCCATTAAGTCACTGCCAGATTGCTCCTTAAAAACTTGGGCCCTCACACCTCACTGGCTTGGCTCAGTGGTTGAGCATTCACCTATGAACCAGGAGGTCACAGTTCAAGTCCACATCTGGGCACTGTGGGCAAGATCCACAGTGTGGGCGTGCAGAAGGCAGCTGATCAATGATTGTCTCTCATCATTTCTATCTTTCTCTCCCTCTCCCTTCCTCTCTGAAATCAATAAAAAAAACACATTTTTTTTAAAAAAAGAAGGAACTTCTACCATTTGCAACAGCATGGATGGAACTGGAGAGCATTATGAGAAGCGAAATAATCAGTCAGAAAAAAATAAATATCATATAATCTCACTCATATGTGGAATATAAAGATCAACATAAACTGATGAACAAAAATAGATCCAGAGACAAGGTAGCACTGAACAGATGGTCCTACCTCAGAGAGAAGGTGGGGAGGGGGGCGTGTTAGAGATCTACCAAAGGACTTGTATGCATGCATATTAGCATAATCAATGGACACAGACACTGGAGTGGTGGGGACTTGCCCTCGGGGGTGGGAGTGGCCGGGTTGGGGTGAATCAGGGAAAAGGGAGACATATGTAATACTTCAAACAATTAAAAATACCTAAAAAATAAAAAAATTTAATTAAACAAATACTGTAAAAGAAACAAGTTATCAGTATTTGCAGATGACAGAACTGAATAATAAAACTAATAGAATTAGAAATGAATGGAATCAGCAAAAAGCAAAATTGACCCTGTAAAAAATCAGTTCATGTCAGCATAAGTTTGAGAAATTCTTCTAAAACAGTAAGGAAAAATAAAGATAGGAAAAATAAAAGATGGGGATGTGAAAGACAGACAATAGTAACAAGTATAAATGGATAAGCAATATTTAAATATGTAAAATGAAACTTTCCTGAGCTCAAGGGACATATAAATATTTAGAATGAAGGTGCACAATTGTTGTATAAACTGCATAGTGCAGGTGTGGGCAACCTTTTTGTGAGTGCATGCCAAAACCAGCAAAATCTCTGACTCAAAATTCTTCTGCGTGCCAAACCTAATTTTTTGAGAACATGTTACGGCTACTTGATATCTCTTAAGTTGTACGTATGTGAAGAACCTTGAAGAAATAATGAAATTCATTCGAGCGACAAAAACACAGTATATGATGATGAAAAATACATTAATTTTTTAATGTATACATGTACATTGTTAGTCCGACAGAAAACTGTATGACTCCATTTGATATTATCAGTGGGACTTTTTCTGCTGCATCACTGATGACAGAGATTTTACATCAGGTTTTGGTCTTTAAGATAACTTGTTATGTAAAATTTATTTATTTACTAAGATGCACCTACACTGAATTTATCTGAAAAATAAAAAAGTCAATATTAAGAAAAAAATTGTAAATGGAAGATAAGAGAGGGTTTCGCGTGCCAGCAAAAGTTACTGGCGTGCCATGTTTGGCACACGTGCCAGGGGTTGCCCACCGCTGGCACAGTGTCTTCCCGCTTCTGCTAGTAATACTGGAGCATTTCTTTTAGAAAACAGTCTGTTACCCATTACAGCCATGGACAAAGTCACAAGCACACAGAAATGATATAAACTTCAGGCAAACAGTGGTATAGGCTGAGAACATAGTTCTTGATTAGTGAATAAACTTCATAGCAAGAAGGGGTGATGGGAATTTAGAAAGTCCAATTATTGGTCACACAGATCAGAGTGAAGGTTGCAAGACAGACTGCAGAGCTTCTTAATAGACAGTCCTCGGTTTACGTCTGACTCGATGTATGTCGCCATCTCCCATTTATTTATAAAAAAAATTCTGTCATTTCGACGTATGCACATATGTGCTTTATGTTGTTTTATTATTTATTTACCACAAGTAAAGGTCAGGAATTGTTATCTTTCTTTTAAATAATTTTTACTGTTTCACTTCATTACTGCTGTGTATGTGCTCCATGTGAGTGATGAAGGTGCTTACGTAGGTCGGTTCCGACTTACGACGAAAATTGCGTTACGTCGCTCCCGTAGGAATGGATCTCCGATGTAACCCGAGGACCTACTGTACATCTAGGAAGGCTGGACTCCAGCCTTGACTTTTTTGGTAAGAGTCACCCAGACTGCTCTGTCTGGATAAGGACAGCCTTCCTACTCAGCAATAACAAAAAGGGTAAATGTCTGCTTCCAGGCAAGAAATCACAGAAAGGGCAAGCTCTTCCTGAAGGAAAGATGGCCCTGAAAGAACAGATTTTGCTTAAACCACACCTGTTTCCATGTTAAAACAGGCATCAACCAAGAGAACAAATTCTAGGAGACCAAATAAAATTTAGGTTAAGAAATGGAGAGTCAATCTCCCACATTCATTTGCATTCTTCACTACTCACATATAATCAATTGCTAAATCTTGATGTTTCTACTCTTTAAATATTTATCCAATCTGTCCCCTTATTATGTCCCTGTTGCTATTCCTTTAACCCAAGCCATTATCACTTCTCACCAAGATTAGTGGATTAGACTCTCAAATGTTCACTTCCCTCCATCTCATTCCTTTCGCCAGTCTATTTTTTAAAAAAAAAACTTTATTGTTGCAAGTACTAAATATGTCCCCTTTTTTCTCCTATTGACCCCTAATAACCTACCCCTAACCCCTGTCCCAGGCCTCCACCATGCTAATCTGTGACAATGGAAGAGATCAACCCAAGTCTATTTCTTGAACACTACCATCATTCCTCAAGATGCTTTCACACACATAAAACAAATACATTTTCACAATGTAAACCAAGTATCACTTTTATTTCCAACAGATGTAAACTCAAAAGACAAAAATTATACACTTACTTTTATTTTAGTTTTTCTAACTACCCAATTCAATTTTTTAAGTGTTAGACATTGTTTCACTAATAGTCATGGATAGTTCTTAAAATAGTGGGCTATAAGAAAAAAATATCAATTCCTTAGTATGACAATACAAAGCCCTCCACAATCTGGCTTCTACCTATCTCTCTTACCTCACCTTTCATCATTCCTGAATACCTGCTAAATTATCTAGCAGTAAAAAAAATACCATGCTATTTTTAGTCTCAGTGCTTTGCATATTATTTTCTCCAACTGGCAAAACTCTTTAATCCTTATGCCCCTTACAGCACCCTCTAACTGGGCAACTTCCCATGTATCAGAGTGACACTCACCAGCCTGTAGATCAGGCTACCAACACTCCTCCCATAAGGTGCACACACAGACAGACACACAATGGCACTGGCACAAGATAACCTGGCAGAGGTGGCCTATCTAGATCTATCAAGGATTTAATTAGTTACATTAGCTTTTCATCAAAATGATTGGGATTAACAGCTTAGAGAGTCCAAGGATCATACTGAAGTTTGTGCCTGGATGACTGCAATTGGCAATGGCAGATCTTGATCATCAACAGGCAGGGACCCCTGGATCACCCCAGAATGTACGTTTACTACCTTAGGGGTAAGATGAACTTCTGCTCATGGAGCTATTCCTAAGTAAGTGCTCACATTTCAAAGGTTAAAATGGAAATGGAAGAGCAAAGTGTTAAAAAAGAAACAGCCAAGATGTTCTGAAAGAAAAGAACAGGAGGGGTCACATAATAAATCAGACAGAGAAATTAGGATAGACAGATATGGGAGTGGACAAGTTGAGTAGACAAGAATTGAAGAATGAGTCCAGATTATATAGTAATCAAAAATATAAATTAAAACCACAAGGGGACACTATAAAAATTTAATTGGAAAAAATTAGAGTCTGACAATTTTAAATGTTGAAAAGGATGTGAAGTCACAGGATCTATTATGTAGTACTGGTGGGAGTATAAACTGTGCAACCACTTTGGAAAAACAATTTGGCATTATCTTTTATTAAAGTTAGACATTTAAATAACCTAATCCAGCAATGTCAATTCTAGATCTATACTATAGAGTACATATGGTATACAGAAGAAGCATGTACAAGAATGCTCTTAGAAGTACTATTCTCAACAGAAACAAAAGGAAACAACCCAATGTTTAGCAATAATAAACTAGAGAAAAAAGTTTTCATCTAACCACACCATGGAACATACAACAGTGAAAATGAATAAACTACAGCTACTTAATAAAAAAGATGAATTCCATTAACGTAATATTGTATCTGAAGAAAACTAGATGACAACACTATGATACCTTTTTTAAATTAAAAGACAATGCTACTAAATGATATATTATTTAGGCATACATATATGTGATAAAACCAACTAAAAATAACTAAAAAGAGAATGATAAATGTGAAATCCAAAAAGTGGTTATCTCAAAATAAAGGAAGAACACCTAGGTAAAAGAAAATCATTAGTAATATTCTAGTTTTGAGTTGAAGTTGGATAATGTATATTTTAAAATAAGTTGATAAAAGATTAAATAAGAAACAAAATTGTCATTACTATAAAAATTTTGAATGCTTTCTGTATCATAAGATAAGGAATTAGCAAATCTTTTAAAAAAAGACTTAACATTTCAGTGAATCAGTAAAGTAACTCTTGAAAATTTCAGTATAATTCTTAAAACTCTTGCAATGCCCATTTTCCTGGACTTTTCTCAAAGAAGAAAAAAATAAAAAATCTTTACAATACCTGATTTCCATGAAGGTCCAAGACATCTAAACTTTTTAGATTCTCCAGATTTGAGATTTTCTTGATTCTAAAAATCAGAATAAATAGAATAGAAATGTAGATGTATCACATCTATTGTAAATCAAAATATATGCTCAAGTATAACTCATTTTTATTTATTCCCTATAACTTAAACATAGATAATAGAAATAACTACAGCTATCTATCTATCTACATAAATATATAGGTTACATGAAAATATGTATATTACATAAAACATATTTCCCATCAATTTAATTGTATTGTTAAATATGCAGCCCTACTAGAGGAAATGTCCCCCCAGCTTAAACAACAGTATCTTTAGAAAAGAGCAATTCTTCTAAGCACCTTGGGCTTTAGGAGAGAGTGATGCAGGCTGACCTCAGAGCTACTAGAGAAGCCTTTTATTCAATTATTTTATATGCCTAAGCTCACATTCCCTAAAACAGTGGTTCTCAAACTTCTTTGTGTATCAGAATCATCTGGAGGGCTTGATAAAAGATAGCTTGCTAAGTCTCACCTCCAGAGTTTCTTGGACAGGGTCCAAAATTTGCATTTCTAATAAGTTCTTGGGTAATGCTGATGCTCCTGGTTGAGGGATCACATTTTGAGAAGTAATGCCCTCAAACATAGACCTTATTCTTATCAAATCTCAATTTGCCCTCATATGAGCTTTATGAGGGTGAACTCACCTACCTAATAGAAAACACTAAGGAAATAATCAGAGATGGACAAGAATATTCATTACAGCATTAGAGAAAAAAAATGTACTATAAATATCTAATAAAAAAGGAAAATAAGTAAATTATTACATATATACCCATATAGATTATATAAGCTATAAAATTATATTTTCAAAGAACATTTAATAACATTGGAAAACATAAGTAATAAAATATAAGTATTCAAGTGACAAACACACAGTATAAAAATAATTTTATAAAATTGTGATATGTGAATATAGAAAAAAGGGTACTACTCAATGTTGATAACCAGACCTTGAAAAGAAGGCTAAGAAATGACTGCAGGTCCTCTCAATGTCAGAACACTGTCAACAAACTTACCTAAAAATCATCTATTCACTATGGGTCAGAGCCCAAATTCTGTAAAGTTATATACTAACTCGTAGAAAACTGATGTATGATTTTTGCCAAGTATGAATATAATTTATTTCTATCTAATAGGAAAGCTACCCTGTTTGTAACTTAACAATCTTATTCCAGTATTTGTCATTTTTCATTACTATATATCAGTTTCTCTTATCCTCCTTTGAACCAGTTTTGTCATCCTATTGGTTTCCTAATCAATGAGTTAATTAAAAAACTGTCCTGGAATTAGTATCTATCTGTCTAAGAATTATATTTTTAACATATTGGAAATTATACACAGGCAATGATGGAGATTGTCCCAGCCCATATTTCTCTGATTTAGAGGATCAATGTAATGTTTCTGTATTGACCGGAAACTCTGGGCACATTTAAGGCACTCCCATCACAGAAACCTAAATGTGCAACAGGTCTTCCAAAGAAGACAAGGGCCTCACATGCTACTAAGCTATCCAGTAAAACAGTCCCAGTCTATTGTGAGTTCAAGCATTCTCTTAGCTTTGACACATAGTGGCTTTGTGACTTTCACTTTAGATTTTGATTGCCCAAGTGAATAGGAATAAAAATAGACAAGTTGTTCAGTCAGTTAAACTGAAAACCAACTAAATATCTTGCTGTCTTATTCTCATGAAATGCTTTTGCCATACACCCGTAGGACCTGAAATGACATAAAAGCAGATAAAATTCTGAAGAATTCAGAGGCAGGTGGAGGGATCAGTTGACCTAGGAGGCCATGGTCAGATTAGGTACTGATGTGAGGAATTTGCAGAATCCTAGTCAGTTCCCAAATAGTTGAAGATTTTTACATTAACACCAATGTGACTGGAAATTTTGTTTAAGTTCTCCCATTGATCAAAACTGAAACTAGAAAAAAGCAAGACTCAGATATCACTTCAGTAGCTACAGAACTCTAGAAATTTATGACAGCCTGTCTCTGCAGGTTGCATTATGTTACTGACAGCAGGATAAGGTCCCTTCTACAGATCTATATGAAGGTGAGGCTTTTCAGGTGTCAAAGACAAATCCATAAGTGGGAACCCTCAAACAATCAGAAGGAAAGAAAAATGGAATCCCAGGGTCTGGTGGAAAGTTTTATATACAGTCCTTGGTGATCAGAAGAAAATTCATAGTTCTATTCATTAGCCTGTGATATGAGGGCACCAGAAGATCTCACAAGGATAATCAGGATACAGAAAGCAGAACAGTTAGACAGCAAGAACTTCAACAGCAAAGTCAAGTTCTTGCTGTCCAACTGTTCTGCTTAGTAGCAATGTAAACTTCAAATATAGCATAACAGGGTCTTTCTAGCTTTTCTGCAGAAATGTTTATTGGAGCCGTTTGAACTTAAAGGCATCTGGTTACCCTAGATGTTCATATATGGTTCCATTGTCTTGGACTAGAAGACAGTGCAGTGCTTTGAAATGTGGGAGGAAGAAAAGTTTCTGGACTTGAGCAGCAGAGGGCAACAAGTCCACCAAGACAAACATGAGGGCACAGGGTGGCAGATGAGCTTCTCTCTTCAGCAGTCCTCGGCCAGGTTTGCCTAATGGTTACTAAAGTACTGCTTCAGGATAGATTTGCATCTTCAAGACTCAAAGGCCCCTTGCCTTGATGAAGTCAGCTGACTGAAGAGCATTAGATATATGTTTAAGGGATCACGATTTGCATTGTACTGATACTTCAGAAATCTACCAGTTGGGAGAATATGGAAAGTTGTTTTCTGACTTATTTTGTTTTTTATTCAAGAACTTGAATAAGAGCTGTTTTCTTTATGGAAAAAATAAAGTAAAATATGACCCAAAGCAAACAAACAAACAAAAGGATGAAGGACTAGAAGGCAGGAAAAAGAAACTGCATTAGATTGCTTTTACTGAACAATGGTAAGAATATAGGAAGGGCAGTAGGCCCCAGAGAGTTGGAGGAGCAAAGAGACCTTTAAAAAGATTAAAAAGGCCCAATACACTGGTGTCTTTGAGGCACAGGAAAAGAAAGTAGATTGAGAGATAACTTAAAACACTAGGAAACGAGCAGCTCTAGACGCTAAGTTTAAAACTAGAAAAGGAGATTTACAATGTCATGAAAACAGTGACATGGAGGGCAGAAAGGCAATGGTACTGCAGAATAAATGGAAGCTAGAGAAACAAATCAGTAACTCCAAGAATCAGAAGCGAGTGATGAAATCTCTGGGAGAGATAACAGTGAGCACCTAGAAGGAAATGCCTTGATGTATGAAAAGTTTACACCTCACTTTACTCAGTGAACTGCTCCGGGGGCATACTCCTACTGTATTTAGTTTGTACATACCTAACCTTGCAGAAGTCACCTTTCATCTCCATTTCTCCATCTGCAAAATAAGAGAGCTAATCTCTCTGGTCACTTCAAGTCCTAATACTCTATAATCCTATAATTCCCTCAAATTCCTTCGTGGTACTATATTGCTTAGTTTAACACTTGAACCAATAGTAGGTGAAAGACTACACCAATGGGAACTTTCAAGAAACCACAGAGAACAGATCAGGACATGATCTTGGAAAAAGTATCTTATATTACTGCTCGCTAATGAGAATAAACAGATAATGCAAGATCTATGCTGGGGGGAGAAGGAAAAGTAGATGGAGGGGAACCAAGCTTGGGTATAATACCACATCTAAACTTTATTATTTGATAATATAAGGATCATTTTTAGATTTTTGCCAAACGGCTCTTCTTTCTAGACATTGCAAAACTACCCAGTGAAGCAGAATGAAGAGAAAAGTCATGAACAAATCTCAAGGAAATTTAACAGGAATTGTGTAGCTGTACACATAATAGAACCTTATAAAAAGAACTGGGGACATTCATATAGGATGTAATCTTGAATATATACTGAAAACACCACCTGAGCAAAAATCAATCAGTAATTTGACAATCACAAAGTAAGAAATGTCTATCTTCAGTCAAGCACTAAGGAGAATCACTAGTGAAATACTTATGTCTAAAGTGAATACAACATGCTTAAAACATAGCCAAAGAAAACACAAAGGCCAAATCTGCTATTTATTTACATATAAAGCTTTGACACTGGAAAGCAATGGAAATAACAAAATACACACTATATAAATGTTGTTTGTTTTAACTAATTGTCAGACTAAATCTCATAAGACAAATTATGACTGGATCTTAATTCATTCAAATAATCTTTCAAAAATTTAGTCCATTAGGTTCTTAACTATTTTTCAACTCTGAGTTGCCATCTAAACACCTATAACTCAACATTAATCCTAAGTATAATAGACAAAAACTGCTCTATAAAAGTTACCTGTTTTTCCCCAACAGAAGGACACGGAGGGATCTGAGAGTAGAAAGCCCACTAATTTCTTCTATATGATTATCATATAAATCCAAGAATATTAGCCTCCGCAGATTAGAAATATTTTGGATTCGAGTTATAAAATTGTGTTGAAAGTTCAATAAACGAAGGTGTTCTTCCCCATCGATAACAGGACATACAGTCAGCTTTTGCCTAAAAGACATTTTAAAAAGTTAATAAGATTCTGATTTGGCAGCTTGCCCCCTCTTACAAATATTATTAGTATTTTGGGGCTCCCATGTTATGAAGAGAAAAAGATAAGTAGAGCCACTTTTTGCCTCCATGAACTAAGCATCCTAGATCTAATTATAAATCTATAATAATAAAAGGGTAATATGCTAATTAGACCAGACAACCTTCTAGACATCCTTCCAGACAACCTTCCGGATGAAGCCAGGGCTGCGAGGGAAGCCCGGGCCCGGGTGCCAGAGGGAAGCCAGTGCCAGCAGCTGGGGAAGGAAAGCCTACTCTTGCCTGAATTTCGTGCCATCAGGTCTCTAGTCATTCATATAAAAGCCAATATACTTTAACAAGGATAATTATTAAAATGAAGCCTAAGCTCTCATTACATTGAAAAAAACTCCAATATAAATTATTTCACATAAAATTGACTTAACATCAGAAAACACTCAATGTAACTGCCTTATGTAACAGAGGTTTCAAAGAATCATCCTATATAATAAAAAGGTAATAAGCAAAGTGACCATCATACCATCACACAATATGGCCACCCCCATGTGGACACAAGATGGCTGGCAGGAGAGGGCAGTTATGGGTGATCGGGCCAGCAGGCGAGGGCAGTTAGGGGCAACCAGGCCTTCAGGGGAGGACAGTTGGGGGGAACCAGGCCAGCAGGGGAGGGCAGTTGGGGGGGACCAGGCCTGCAGGGGAGGGCAGTTAGTGGCAACCAGGCTGGCAGGGGAGGGCAGTTAGAGGCAACCAGGTTGGCAAGGCAGGGCAGTTGGAGGAGACCAGGCCGGCAGGGGAGGGCAGTTAGGGGCAATCGGGCCATCAGGGGAGTGGTTAGAGGGCAATCAGGCAGGCAGGCAGGCAAGCGGTTGGGAGCCAACAGTCCTGGATTGTGAGAGGAATGTCCGACTGCCTGTTTAGTCCTAAACGGGCCTAAACGGGCAGTCAGACATCCCTCCAGGAAACGGGCCTAAACGTGCAGTCAGACATCCCTCGAGGGGTCCCAGATTGGAAAGGGTGCAGGCTGGGCTGAGGGACACAACCCCCCTCCCCTCCCATCCACAAATTTCGTGCACCGGACCTCTAGTGTCATATAACCAGAGAAATGCCCTTGCCATCAATCAACTGATATAAAAGACTGCCCAGGTAGCTAAGTCACCAGAAAAAACAAACAAACAAACAAAAAACATAAAAAAGGATCTCTCATAGAATTGTAGACTCTTGAACTGAATGATATTTTAGGTAGAGCAAGAAATTCAGTCATCTACAGTTCACTTTGATAGAAATAATTTCATCCTTTATTGAACACTTCTACAGACATTTAGATTTTAATTATTTGTTTATATGTTCAACTAACTTTGAACTTTGCAGAATGCTATTGGGTAGGATGAAACCTTAACAATGTATTTCTTTAGCTATATTTATTTATTTTTTTTTTAATGCCAGATGTTTATTCCCACCCCCAAGTGGGACTGCTCACATACACAACACACATGTGTTGGCACCAGGGAGAACAGGGCTCTTTCCCAGCCCGTGGCCTCAAGTACGAGATGGGAGAGGAGGACGGCTTCTCTTTCCTGCCTTCAGTGGGGACAGAGGGACCTATGAGCAAACCCCACCCTTCTACCTCTCAGCCA